ATTAAGGTTAAATTTGCAATGATGTTAAGAATGCTTCCAAAGCAAAATGATATTCAAAGATGCTCACCGTAGAACAGCACTTAGGTGCTGCCTTTTAATTTCAATGTCTCCAGAAACCCATCTAATGCTACGTCTCTCTTAACACAGGCATTTGTTATGTAAACCAAACCAACTATTTTTAAGAAGTTTAGTATTTCATCATCTTATGCCTTAAAAAAAAAAAAAAAATCTAGGTATGGTCCAAATGTAAAATTCCAACATTGAGAGGGGGGGGGGAAAAGTTGCACCTGAATCTAAAGACTTACTGTGCGCCACATCAATGGACTCCTCAGCCAGATTGGCTGAGAGTTTGGAGGGGGAAAGTATGGAAGGAAAAGATCCCTTATCCTTATTTTATGAAAAATCTGTCTCAAAAATTTCATGCCTTGTGCACTCCAACAAGTTCAGCAAAACCCAGCCATGAAAGGTAAGCTAACACATGAAGCTACTACCAGTCTTTGTGTTGGTCTGGGGCATGCACTCGCAAGGGTGAGAGTGACGGGGTCGGTTGGAGGATGGGGGTCACACACAAGGGTTACATATTCCAGACCAGACTGGGCTACAGAATGAGACCCAGTTTCAAAAGGAAAAGGAAAAAACAAAAACAAAAAAAAAAAACACTTATTTTGTCTAGAGTTGATCATTCCAATTTTTGCTTCTCCAATCTTGTCTTTTGCTTTTGACAAAAGAAAAGAAAAAAATAAACCTTTGTGTCCAATCTACCAATAAGAAAGCAGTGTTTTTTTACAAGTTTACAAATAGCGCACTAAAAGGGAAAGACTGAAATGTAAGTTAAAACAGTGCTCTCAACATCTTTGTGGACTTTAATTACACATGCATGCCTTCACTCTGCAGTCATTTAGGAAATATACTACTGCTACACTCATTGTTACAGGGAGGAAAACTAGGTCAAAACTCAGGAAAACTGTCTACAATTACTAAGCTGCTAAGACAGAAGTACCGGGGGCGGGGATGCTGAATGAGGCTGCAAGGATTAGTCCACATATCACATTCTTCAGGGGGAGATTCATCAGCAGAATCTCCCTGTTCCCTTCTCTCCTTAGAAGACCACTCCTCAAACTAAACATCTCCATTCCATGACTTACGTTTGATGCAAAGAAAGATGCAGGAAGAAAGGCAGAGAGAAAGGGAAGGAAGGAAGGAAGGAAGGAAGGAAGGAAGGAAGGAAGGAAGGA